ACTTCAATATTTCCTTTCTAAAATGTAAGAATAATTGCCTTTTTTTTTTTTTTTTTTTTTTTTTTTGAGACAGGGTCTTACTCTGTTACCCAGGCTGCAGAGTGCAGTGGTGTACTCTGTAGTCTCAAACTTCAAGGCTTAAGTGATCCTCCCACTTCAGCCTCCAGAATATCTGGGACTACAGGTGCACACTCCCATGCCCAGCTAATTTTTTTTTATTTTTAGTGGAGACAAAGTCTCACTACGTTGCCCAGTCTGGTCTTGAACTTCCGGGCTCAAGAGATCATCTCGTCTCAGCCTCCCAAAGTGCTGGGGTTACAGACGTGAATCACCATTCCCAGCCAATAGTGCATAATTTTACATTCTTCTATAGATGTGTTGTGATGAGGCTCCATTAGACAAACAGTTTTTAAAATAGTCCATAATCTGTAAAGTTTCTAGGTTAAGTAGAAACATACTTGCTATCTACCTGCCAAATGATGACATATGCGATTAGCTCTCTCGATCTACATATTTTTCTTTGAAATTTAAAGTGTTTCTTCATTGGAATTGAAGCAGTAGCCTCAGAAGAAATGATTTTAGTCTATCATCCTAAAACTTGAAAGCCTAAAACCTTTGCTAAAAATATAAACTTTGGTTACTCTTTTGGATAGTTTTAGGTAGTACATGATCATGGTGCCTCTGTGAGTTTATGTGATAGATTCTAAAGCAGTTGTCTCCTGGAAGTAGTATTTCTCTCATAATCACTCCTCTTGTGGAAGAGAGATATGGGGTTGTCACACGGTAAACCCCAAAATTGGGGTTCAGTCTGGGAGGCCACATGGGTTCTTGGCTTCATGCAGGAAGGAATTCAAGAGCAAGGCTACAGAGTAAAGTGAAAGCAATTTTATTAAGAAATTAAAGGAATAAAAGGGTGGCTGTGCCATAGGCAGAGCAATGGCGTGGGCTGCTTGACTGAGTAAACTTACCATTATTTCTAGATCATATGCTAAATAAGGGGTGGATTATATATGAATTTTCTGGGAAAGGGGTGGGGAATTCCTGGAACTGAGGGTTCCTCCCCTTTCTAGACCATATAGGGCAGCTTCTGGACATTGCCATGGCACTTGTAAACTGTCATGGCGCTGGTGGGAGTTTCTTTTAGCAAGCTAATGCCTTATAATTAGTGCATAATGAGCACATGGACAACCAGAGGTTGCTTTCATTTGCCATCTTGGTTTCGGTGGGTTTTGACTGGCTTCTTTACTGCGTCCTGTTTCATCAGTGGGGTCTTTGTGACCTGTATCTTGTGAAACTAGTCCTGCCGACCTCCTAGCTCATCCTGTGACTAAGAATGCCTGACCTCCTGATAATGCAGCCTAGCAGTTCTTGGCTTCATTTTACCCAGCCCCTGTTCAAGATAGAGTCCTTCAGGTTCTAACACCTCTGGCAGGGCTGCAGTCTTTTGACATACTTTTTTCTTTTTAATTGCTTGGAAAAATGGAAGTTTTTTGTTCTACATGAAGTATGAGAGAAAGTGTGTCATTGTCGTTTTCTCCTGCAACACTTTAGCTTTTGTTGAAATCTTTTTTTCTTACTGGCCAGAGTATTATAAAGAAATAGACTTTAGGCAAACTTACCCTGCAAACATTTACTCAGATGATCGTATATAGGTTGTGCTTGTCAGAGAGATTTCATGGAGGATTACTAAAAGAAGATGTTGGCTGTCATTAATAACATTTTGAAAAATGTCTTTAGATACTGCTGATTACTAGTTATTAGATCTGAAGCAGGAATGCAATTAAAATAGAGCTTTAAATGAATTATATATACTGATGCTAGACTTGGCAGAGCTTCTGGATTAATAGCAAAACAAGTGTGTTGTGCATTGCTTTGATTAGCATTCCAGAAATATGCCTGTTTTTGTAAATGGTATTTGTTTTGTATAAGGTATTTGACTATTCCACAAGCTCTCAGGACAATGGTTATGTGGGATTATGGAGATTTCAAAGACTTGAGATTTTTTGTGCACCGATGTCTATAGTTGTGAAAATGCAACTGTGTACACATGTAGCAGCATGTTTTCATAATTTATATTTTTTGCAATGAGGGAAAACAAAAATCACATGCTTATTTTCAGACACTGTTAGCCACATAGCATTTAACAGTTTCTTTATGGAATAAATGTTTGTTGAGTGTTTCTTGAGTGAAATGATAAAGACTTAACTTGCAAGTGGCAAGAGTGTCATGTATTCATTTCAAATGGTCTTGATGAAGAATTAGGTATTAGCATACTTATTAAATAACTACTAAACATTTTTGCCTTGAAGCAAATGTCTAGAAAAAATAAGTAACAAGAGTTTTGAGGACAAAGCATTGATGTAGCCGTAGGAAACAAAAAACTGGTTCTTTAAGGAAATCATGAGATAAGTAAGTTAGGTAAGTTTTTAAACAATGTTTAATTTCTATTAAAATTGTTTTACTTTTATAATTACTATATTGGTGAAAATTTTGTTTTTGAACATGCTTGAGAGAAGTAAGCACTGTAACTTGGGACAGGCTCATATATGTCTTAGAAAAGAATTGTTAAAGAGCTCAAGTTTTTTTTAAAAAATTAAAATAATTAAAAATGTTCATATGCAACATTACTTATGAAATCTAAAATATTTTTATGAGAAATATATGTTCTTAATGACACTTATATGAAGCAAGAAAGAGACATTACTCCAAACAGTAATGGTCTGGGGATTGTTCACAGGCAGAGATTCAGCTACTTGCAAGGTAAGTCTTTGTCATTTCACTCAAGAAACATCCAACAAGCATTTATTCCATAAAGACACTGTTAAATGCAAACATCAAATTGATGGCAGTTCTTTTTAAAGTTTAGTAAGCATCAGAATTTTCAGTAGAACTTGTTAAAAAGAGATTCCTAGGCCCTGGTCCCAGAGATTCGGACTGTAGGTAGAGAATGTGGCCCATGAGTTTTCATTTCACAGAAACTCCAAGGGGTGCCCGTAATATCAGTAATTGATCGCACTTTGAGCATTATTGTTATAAAGAATTGACAGTTGGCACAGGGGCGGTTGATTTCATACATATATTTGATTAAAAATGGCAATAAATATTGAAAATTAACTTTCTTCATAGAGTCTTCCAGTGTATCTTCTAACTATATCTGTATTTTAAAACATGGAGGAGATTACTAGAAAATAGAGTGAAAAAGTAGTATTGCTTCACCATATATCCGGAACTCTACATTATACATGTCTGAAATTTAACTGAGAATTTTTTACTGTCATTGGAAAATTCGTCAATAATGAAATAGAAATAATATAGATAAAATAACCATGAATGTATGAGGGCTAGGGCTATGCCTATATTTGGATGACTGACATCTGACTATATATGACTATTAATGTTTAAAATTACAACTTGCATGAAATATAATTTTGAGAATCAAGTTTCCATGCATATGAATGTAACATTTTTTTTTTTCAACCATGAGACCTGGCTACTATCAATCAGGCACACACAGACATCCCATATGTACACACTATATATACTTTATTTTTATTTTTATTTTTGAGACAGAGTTTTGCTCCGTCACCCAGGCTGGAGTGTAGTGGCCCGAACTTGGCTCACTGCAACCTCCACCTCTTGGGTTAAAGCGATTCTTCTGCCTCAGTCTTCTGAGTAACTGGGACTACAGGCGGGCGCCACAACACCAGGCTAATTTTTGTATTTTTTGGTAGAGCCGGGTTTCACTTTGTTGGCCAGGCTGGTCTCAAACTCCTGGCCCCAAGTGATCTGCCCACTTCAGCCTCCCAAAGTGCTGGGATTACAGGCTTGAGCCACCACACCTGGCCTCAGACTATATATATTTTATATATCATGTATATATATAATATATATACTATGTATTAGTAATAAACTATATTATATGTGTATATAATTTGTTTATCCAGCAATCTTACTGTTTATTGTTACAATCGTTCTTGAACCAATATTGGAGTCTGGCTAGTGTCTTTGATTTATTGGAATGTATATAGTAATAAGTTATATGCATGTATGTTTAAGGAAACCTCATTTTCTGTTATGAGACTCTCATGTCATAATCTAACAGATTTATTCAGTGTATTTTAATGGAGTGATTAAACTGGATGTATCTGAATGCTGTTGAATTCATTGAGATAAGGATACAAGTTAACAATACATATGTGCACATACATACAGACATAAATTTAATACAATGCGTTTTCACTTAATTACTTGTAGAAGAGTATACAAAAAAATAGCCCTGTGCTGCTAATTTAAAGGAAATGTAATATTAAGTTTTATGAGAAAAATTTCCTCTGAAACAACCTTTAGAAAGTATTTCTTGGCTGGGCGCAGTGGCTCACGCTGTAATCCCAACACTTTGGGAGGCTGAGGAGGGCAGATCACCTGAGGTCAGGAGTTCGAGACCAGCCTGGCCAACATGGTGAAACCGTGTCTGTACTAAAAGTACAAAAATTAGCCCGGTATGGTGGCGTGCGCCTGTAATCCCAGCTACTTGGGAGGCTGAGGTAGAAGAATCACTTGAACATGGGAGGTGGAGGTTGCAGTGAACCGAGATCGCACCATCACACTCCAGCCTGAGGACAAGAGCAAGACTTTGTCTCAAAAAAAAAAAAAAAGAAAAAGAAAAGAAAGTATTTCTTACTGAATAGAAAATATTTCTTACCCCAATTCCTCCAGCTGATGGTGACAATCATTACTTTTGCTGTAAGTCACTGACAGCCGCTGTAACTTTTCCTTTTCAATTGTGTTGAAATACATTTTTTGGTTTGCTTTCTGTAATGATGCTTTTGCTCAGAGTCGTATTATACCCAGTTTAAAAAAGCAGCTGATTCTCTGGTTTTCTAAACTAACCCGAATAAACGAGCATGGAAAAGCAACAATCACAGGTGAATTCTTTTTTCCTCTCAGCTTTGTTTCGTTGTTTCCATGTTTTATTTATTTTTATTGTTCCTCTCTTCCAGTGTCTGGAGCCCTGCAAGGAATCCGGGGACCTGAGGAAACACCAGTGCCAAAGCTTTTGTGAGGTAGGAGACCGTCAGTGATACTTAAAACACTTGACCCAAATCTGACTATGCCTATGTGGGTCATGGGAATGAATGGCCCTCTTATTCTTCTGCAGCTTGGGGAGTTCATTAACTGCAGGTGTGTGTGGGTATATGTAAATTCATGTAAAAAATATAGAGCCTTCTTAAAACCTGGCTATCCACTGCTTGCATTATTGGCTAACCAGACAAAAAAAAATTTATGATGCATAGATGGAAGACTACAAGCTTTCTAAAGGTATCGATTGTCATCACCCTCTCACCTTATATCATAGCTATTCTGAGCAGTTTTTACATGCTTTTGAAGTATTCATGCCATTTGGGAGAAGAGACTCGTGTTATTACTAATGGTGTTTCTCAAATATTTTCATCTCTTTGTTCCCCCTTGGGGTTCCTCCTCATATCCTGGGCAGAATGCTTGCCCGCTTTTAACTGTACAGGAGAGAGGCATCTTACTTCACCTAACTATCAGTTAGATTAGTATCTATCTGTTCATCTATCCAGCCGGCCAGCCAGCCAGCTAGCCAGCTGGCCATCTATCCATCCATCCCATCCATCCATCTATCATCTATCCATCCATCCATCTATCCATCCATCTATCCATCCATCCATCCATCCATCCATCCATCCATCCATCCATCCATCATCTATCCATCCATTCATCTATCCATCTATTATCTATATATATTTATCTGTCTATCCATCCATTCATCCATCCAGCCATCCACTCTTATATCTACCCATTCATCTCTCTATCATCCTTATTAGAAGAATGTGTAATATTGTCCTGAAGGACTACTGTCTAAAATCACCAATAGCACAAAAAAGGAGAAGATCTGCTTTACTGGACTGTCTTCCCCAGGGAATACAGGGGGCACAGGCCCTGTACCAGCCTGGATTCTGCTGAGAAGTAACCAGACACAAGGCCAAGCAGACTGCCTGGTTCCAAGGGTTCCAAGGACAGTGGACTTGAGAAGTAGGAGAATCTGAAGGTTTGGGGGGAACAGTAGAGAATGAGTCAAAAGAGTCCATTTTGGCAGTCAAGAAAGCTCAGTTAAGGGTCTTGGCCAGAAGAGGTGCCCCGACATCAGAATGAAATGGTGTTATGGATTATCTTTGAACAGAACTGGGGGGTGAAAGGGAACTCTTCCAAGGATCCAGAGACATTGGTCTGGTCTTCATCCACTACAGCAAATAAATACTAGTGTAATCCCATTGCCTGTGTTTCACTCTGGATCTTATTCTGAGAAAATGACTGCAGAATTAGGACAATAATGGCTTCATCACTATGTATTGTGTGTAAAATATCTTCCAAATCTTACTTGACCTTTCCCATATTCCTGTAGTTAAGCAAGGCAGGTAGTAAGTCCCCAAGAGTTGTGTGTAGAAGCCAAGAAGGACTGGGAAGTTGAAGCTCCTCAAATGAATGGCTTGTCCACGGCCAACCCTCCAGGTAGAAAGGCTGGGTCTAAAACTCCTGTCTTTTTATCCCTCTCACTGATTATCTAAGTGTTGTTCCTGGTCAACTCCACTTGGCCAATCACCAGGGATCATAATGGGTTTGGGCCCCTTGAGATATAGAAAAGACGCAGCAGAAATAAACAAAACTGATGATTTGCTTCAAGGATAAAGAGAGTGAGACCATCCCATGTCTGTGTTCTGCTTTTACCTTTTCTGTGTTCCTATTTTAGTTAATATTTTAAAAATATCTATTCATTCATTGATTCAACATGAACTTTTTGAATACCTATAACGTGCTCTGCAGTTTGGTAGTGATGCGGTAGGAAACAAATCACGCAAAAATTCCAGCCTTTGTGGGGCTTATTTTCTCCTCAATGAAAGATCTCAGCTGTGAATGATGGTAACTTGATTCCAATCCTAACTGCAAAACCAACTTACTCTATGAATTCAGTTAAATCAATTAACCTGTGTCTTCAACCTCATTTTTTCAGATGAGGGATTTATCCTATTGATCTTACACGGTGTTTATTAAAATAGATAATGAATGTAAGTGCATGGTACAGAGCTTATCAAGCTGTACAAAAGTAACACAATGATATTGTATTATGATTGTATACAAATACAATGATTTGTATTATGTGTTATAGGCTTGCGGGTCATAGCTCTGTGAAGTATCTGAATCAACTATTGATTCTGAATTTTTACCCACATTGGTAATCCTTGTCAACACAATTAGAGCACACTGTCTAGTGGAGTGACTGTTGTGCTCTTAACTTTAATTTTCTATTCTATTCCATACACAAACTATACATCTATAGGCACAAAAATAGATTTATAGAATATTTTTTTTTCGGTTGCCCATGCTGGATTGCAGTGGCGTGATCTCGGCTCACTGCACCCTCTGCCTCCTGGGTTCAAGTGATTCTCGTGCCTCAGCCTCCCAAATAGCTGGAATTATAGGCATGCACCACCATGCTCAACTGATTTTTGTATTTTTAGTAGAGACGGGGGTTTTGCTGTATTAGCCAGGCAGCTCTCAAACTCTTGGCCTCAAGTGATCCACCTGCCTCGGCCTCCCAAATTGCTGGGATTATAGGCATGAGCCACTGTGCCTGACCTGTTTATAGAATCTTGAGGAACAAGGTGTTTGTTTTATAAATTTGTTATCCCTAAATATCAGTGACTCTGGGCTGATATTTTTACATCTGATCTCTGAGAAGGAAGATATAACTGAAGGTAATTTGAAAGCTTTCTTCCTGTAAATTTCAAATTCAAGAGCAGGTTTCTGTAACTGCCATTCTCTGAGGTAACTGTGAGGTGTTCTGAACCAAATCCAGTTTATTAAAATGGGATTCAGGTGTTTGAATTGTGATCCCTTCTGGCAGGAAAGGTTAATTGAAACTTGAAAGGTGGGGAAAACAGATGCCATTTAATGTGAGGCGCTTTGATGAGTTGCTTCAACCCAACGGTTAAATAACTCAAGACTTGATGTTCCATTTTAGTGGCTTTGATTGTTTTTACGTCCCTGTGTGTTTTTTGCATCTGTTTTATTTTGCAGTAAGTATCTGACTATTGTGTTGAAGTAGGCTGAACCTTGAAAACACTGATGGCTGTTTCAGCATTTTTAAGCCTAGTCACTTATGGAGACAGGTCTAATACAATCCTGTTCATTCTCCCCATTCTCACATTATTTGTTAAGAATGCATACAAAGTCCATATTGTCATGACTCCAAGCTTTCCCTTTGTAAAAGTTCAGACCCAAAAGGGACTCTAGATTACATTATCCTTCAATTGAAACAATTACACTGTTAGACATGTTCGGCCCAGTATGTTTACTTGCAGGGCAGTCTGAGCTTATTTGTCTTCTAAGGCATAGGTTTGCAAACCATGACTCGCAAGGCAAACTGGTCTGCCTCTTGTTTTATAAATAGAACTTTATTGGAACACAGCCACACTGGTTTGTTTACATATTGTCCATGGCTGCTTTTGTGCTACAACAACAGAATTGAGTAGTTGTAACATTATATGGCCCTTATAGCTGAAAATATCTATTATCTGGCCCTTTATAGAAAAAGTTTTTAAATTCTTGCTCCAAGAAAAAGAACAGGCTGGGCGCAGTGGCAAATGCCTGTAATATTGGCACTTTGGGAAGCCGAGGCAGGAGGATTGCTTGAGGCCAGGAGTTCGAGGTTGCAGCGAGCTATGATCATGCCACTGCAGTCCAGACTGGGCAACAGAGTAAGAGCCTGTGTCAAAACAAAAAACAATAAAACAAAGAACAGTCATAATTATATCACAAAACTCACCTTACCATTTAGAGTATTGTTACTTCTTAATCTGTATTACCAGCACCCATTTCTAAACATAAAACATTGTTCTTGGTAATTTTAATCACAAAATAAATTTTCCTACATGGAGGAGACTTTTGGAGGCACATTAATAACATACCTAGAACTGGTTCAGTTCGTACTCATATCCTGATCTCTCTCACTTCTCATCTGATTACCTATTTTATTATAATTTGCAAGGTAACTTTTGCTACTTTTGCTACTTTTAGGCTGATGTCAGAGGTAATAATGTCTTCTTTTATTTTTTTTATTTTTTATTTTTTTGAGATGGAGTCTTGCTGTGTTGCCAGGCTGGAGTGCAGTGGTGCAATATCAGCTCACTGCAACCTCTGCCTTCCGGGTTCAAGCAATTCTCCTGCCTCAGACTCCTGAGTAGCTGGGACTACAGGCATGCATCACCATGCCCGGCTAATTTTTGTATTTTTAGTAGAGACGAGGTTTCACCATGTTGGCCAGGATGGTCTCCATCTCCTGACCTTGTGATCCGCCCGCCTCGGCCTCCCAAAGTGCTGGGATTACAGGCGTGAGCCACCGTGCCCAGCCCAGTAAATGCCATTTTTTAAATGAAGAAGTTAAATGTTTGTATCAAAACAGGAAAAAAGTGAGATATTTCAGCAGTCCTCTGGATTATATGAGATTTTTTTTTCATGTATCAAGTTTTTGGAACATGGCATGTAATCATAGATACATAGATAGGCAAATAGATTCTGTTTTGTAGATTCAGTTTATTAACTAACCATTATCACTGTTCTCTTATTTTCTTTTCTTTTTTTTTCTTTTTTTTGGAGACAGAGTCTCGATCTGTCGCCCAGACTAGAATGCAGTGGCATGATCTTGGCTCACTGCAACCTCTGCCTCCCAGGTTCGAGCGATTCTCCTGCCTCAGCCTCCTGAGTATCTGGGATTACAGGCATGTGTCACCACTCCCCCTTATTTTTGTATTTTTAGTAGAGATGGGATTTCCCCCTCTTGGCCAGGCTAGTCTCAAACTCCTGACCTCAGGTGATCCGCCCACCTCAGCCTCCCAAAGTGCTGGGATTACAGGCATGAGCCACTGCACCCGGCCTGTTCTCTTATTTTCAAAAATCTTACAAATGATGACAAACTATTTTTTTAACCAAATACAAAAGGTACATTTTCCTAGATTGAAACTTTCCTTTTTCACAATCAGTG